CTTCCAATTGTCAGGAAGAAACCCTAAACTTGAAAGCCTAAACTTTCGGGGGGCGGAAAGGGTAGACATGTGGGGCATAGTCTAGATAGACCCCTTTAAAAGGGGGTTATATATGGGATTATAGAGGGGAGTATTATAAGGGTTCAGAGTTTACAGTGCTGATTTCAAGCGCCGCTTTGCAGGGGCTGGAAACTTTGTGGGCTGTGTGTTTTTCTGATGGAAATGCGAACTTCAGCCAACCGGGCCCTAAACCCCGAGCGTTAGACCTTGAGTCCTGATCCAGGGGATGATTTCCAGGGACGATGCAGCAGAATTTCACAAACAGCAACATTGGAAGCGCTAGGCCCTAGACCTTATTCCTCAGCCAACATCTCCTGCATTCTTCAGTGGGAAAGTGTGTGTTGGACCAATTGAGGTATGTCACATGTTTGACTGGTGCACAACCCTGTTGCTTAGGGGTCTCACCCAGCAAGACTGTCGTCATGTTTCTTGAGGACGTCTAGCATGAATGTGAGGTTGCATACATCATGGTAGAGTCCTACATCATCCTTTTTGATTTGGACTTACCCATGAAGCTCCAAGTACAGCATTTTTTGCACTCCAAGCAGTTCTCGCGCTGTTCCGCAGAATGAGTGTGTTACAGATATCCTAGGCGCTACGCACACAGGCTTCGACGCACGAAAAGAGCGGAATTCTGTTTTTTCTCAATGAGGATGTATATGCATCACGCACCAGCATCGCAAAACCCAAAACAGGAAGAACACTAAATCCCAAACCAGAGGCCCTTAACTGCAAAGCCCAAAACAGGAAGAACCCTACATTTTAAACCCTAAACCCTTAAATGCAAGGCCGAAAACAGGAAGAACCCTAAGCCCTGCACCCTAGGGTTTAGGGTTTCAGGGTTTAGGGTTTCAGGGTTTAGGGCTTGAACCGGAAAGCCCAGAAACAGGAAGGATTTGGAGACTTCCGGAGCAAGTTCGGTGAGAAGGCGTTCGGTCTTCATCACAGGCTACCCGGGTTCGGGTGCAGGGTTTGGGGTCTACCTAGAGTTGCCCTACAAGCTTAGGGTTTAGGGTTTGGGGCTACTTGGAATAACCTCGAGCTTCAACAAAACAGATAATCCATATAAAATCCAAATATATATTCCATTATACCATTAATGATAGTCTTAAATAACCCTCGTGTAAATCGACCGTGAAAAGCAGTAAAGATACCAACAAATGGTACGACCCCTTTTTAACAGGTGCATTGGTTACTCTAGGTAGGGTTCAGAGTTGCAGGGCTCGCGATTCTGCCCATAACAGGACCCCAGCCCCCGCTGTAGTTGTTTTTGTTTGTGTGTGGCTTAGCTTGTTGGTTTCTGTTGGTTAGGAAGGTGTATCATGGGTTCCCCTACTACACCCCTGTATACAACCCCGCCTAGGTTCCGCCCTTAATAAAGGATATTTAGGGATAATTGGGCCTAATTAACGTTAATCAAGGGGGAACGTAGGGGGGGGGGTAGTATGGGGGAGGGGGGTAACCCATGAGTGTAGGTAGCATCAAGAAGAGGATGTGTTTTGCAGGGCCTTGTGCCTCGGAGACGGTATAGGTTTTAGAGTTTAGGCACCGCACAGCTATATACAAACCCTACTGTTCATCCTAAAAATCCTGCATGACTCTAATATACTATAATGCCATAATTCCCAATATATAAGGTACATAGGGTCATGCAGGATTTTTAGTATCCACCGTAGTGGCAACGATAATCAGCATTAGGGTCGTCTAGTATGCCCTGGACTTTTTAAGTTGTAGAAAGCCTAAGAATCCTAAACCCGAAAGCCTCAAAATCTTTAACCCTATCCATAACCTCTAGACAATCCCTATATAGAGGAGCCTGCACTCCGAACCCTGTACCCTAAACTCTATACCCCAAACGCTTAACCTTAACCCTCATACCTGAACCCTAGAGGGTTTAGGGTTTAGGGCTTAAGGTCTGGGGTTTAGGGCTTATAGCCTTCAATCCTGAGTCCTGCACCCTAAGCCCTGAACCCTAAAGCCTCAGCCCCAAACCCAAAACCCCTGAGCCCTCAACCCGAAGCCCTTAAAACCCGCCCAAACCCTAAACCCTAAAGCTTAAGTCGGTCATATTATCCCCCTATAATGGAGAATCATGGAAAAGAACGTGGAAAATGAAATGGAGACTGGGTTATAGGAGTATATGAGGTTTTAGAAGGGTTATATACCGGGTTGCTGGTAAGGAGCTCAAGTTAAGTCACGGTAATGGGTATATATATATATAGCACTTACTATGGTTTCCCCAGTATAGTAACTTAAATTAACCCTAGGGGTCCAAGAACCCCAATAGGAGGGTTTTAGGGCCCAAATACCATTACTAAAATAGTATTTGGGCCCTAAGACCCTATTAGAACCATCCTTGCAGGTTTTATCTCCACTTTGACTTCATGAACCGTCTGTGGCTTTCCGCTGAGGATGGTTGTGAGGGGCATCCAGCGCGAGTGCCATAAAGGGGAACTTCGTTTCACGCAGTTTTAAGCGCACTTTAGGGGCCTGAGTGAGTTTAGTCCCCCTGAAGTAGACCGAACATGGCTTTGGATTCATTATAATCAGATCCCCATATAGCCCATATTCTATCTACTTAAGGGGGACTATACCCATATGATGCTTCTAGATCCTTTGTATGATTGTGGTACAGGGTGCACACATAGGCCTCAGAATGATATGGGCAAAAAACGGGCAGGGCGCCTTTGGTGTACAATACGGACACCCTGGAAGATAATGTGGGGATAGGGAGGGGGTTCTTGGTCTACCTCGAGCAGCATTTGAGCCATAGTCAAGATTCCCTAAAGGGGGTTATGTAGCGGGTTCGGTGGGGGACTACTACAGGGATATGAAGGGGGCGTGAAATGCCGTAGTTTTCTGCCGTATATACAGATTTCATTGAGACCATTCGCTGGTACTAAATCAGGAAAATTCATTATGAGGACTTGAGGTTTTTTACTTAAGCCACCACCCCTAATTCTGGACCCTAAACTCGTAGTCAGACTGGAGTAGGATAAGTCCTACCCTCAACAGTTAAGGGCTTAGGCTTGCGGTTGTAAAGTCCAGGGTGAAGCTTAAGTTTAGGGTTGAGCTGCAGGTTTCATGTTCTGCGATAATAAGGGGCGACTTTTAAACCAGCGATTTGGTATGTGAATGTAGGGGTTCAACGGCGGGATTTGTAGGCTCAAAGTATGAATCCGAGTCTAAAGCTTAAGGCATCAAACCTGAACAACAATCTTCACAAAATCCTTGGAATTGGACCATAATCTCTTGCCCACGAAGTTGAGTTACTACCATTGAAGAAGGGTTCTAGATTCACAGTACCGACACCCTACAGCGTACACCCTACACCCTAAATCCTAAACCCTAAACCGCGCGGAGAGAGCATCCTAAACTGAATCACCCTAAGTCCTGAGCTCAGAAAAAAAGGCTTTTCCGATCACCTGCCAGAGTCATCAATAATCAAGGGATTAGGGTTTAGGGTTTAGGGATCAAGGATGGCTGAGGATGACGTATGGGTTGTAGGATTCAGGCTTCAGAAGAAGCTTGGAACTTAGTACCTAGGTTAATTATGCAGATAACTGGGGTTCCTAAATTTCTTAACAGGGGCTATAAGCATACTTACTGGGACCCCCTGACTTACTAAGCCCTAAGTCCTAAACCCTAAGCCCAAGTGCGAGGTTAACTCAGTTTCCGCAGCTGCTCTGTGGACTCTTCAGTCGTTAGCTCGTTGTACAGACCTGTGTCTGGTGAGCATGGCTCAATGCTAGTAAGTGGGTCTTGGTAGCCCAACCCTCCAAAATTGGTTTAGGGGTTCAGGGTCTAGGGACCATGTAAAGTTGTAGGATCCAAACTCGGTAGGTTAGGGATACCAAAAACCTCTTTCGCATACACTTGCGGTGCCTGGCGAGGGCGAAACAAAAAAGATACACTGCGTGCCTTGCAGGGTTTCTAACTGGCTGCTGAACTGTACAGTTAGTAGCTCTGTAGTGAATACCCCACATCCACATCCCTTAGCCCTTCCGCACAATCTTCTTGTCCATGGTCCCTCTCTGTGAAGCCTTGTGGGGACTCAAACCCTAGACCAGAAACCCTAGACCCTAAACCCCTAAAGCCCTAAACCCCTAAACCCCTAGACCCTAAACCCCTAAACCCCTAAACCCCTGAACCCTAGACCCTAAACCATAAGCATCTGAACATCAAAACCCCAAGCCTGGTCCTGACGTCTTGTGGAGATTAGGGTTTAGGGTTTAGGTTATAGGGTCTAGGGGTTCTAGGGTTTGGGGGTTATAGAGGTTTTAGGGGTCATAGGGGTTATAGGCGGGCTTAGGGGGTATAGGGGTTAGGGTTTATAGGGGTTTAGGGGTCAGAGGGCTTAGGGCCCAGGGGTTGCAGGGTTTAGGGTCAAGGGAGGAAAACTACTTGTCCCAAAACAAGACATGGCCAGGTGCGGTGGATAATCAACAGTAACCCTAAACCCTAAACCCCATCTTCAGCCTCGAAACGTTATGCCTCAGCACTGAAGCTTGGGCCCCGAACCGTAGAAATGCTGTAACGCCAAACTTAGTCAGTCAACAACTGACTTCTACACACCTTCAAGTACTTGCTGGTGCTTCGTAGGGGAATAGAGGCATGGATCCCTAAAGTAGCTCATATTCTCCCTAATAGTATAGTACTTGCATGTTTCTTTCCATTTCATCATTCCCTGCCCTGAGTCCTAAGCCTGAACGGGCAGAAACCCTCAATCTCCACCCGGAAAATCGGGTGGTTTCAGTTTCCTTGTCCATGCCTTGATTCCCTACTCCCAGCCAGCAAGACTAAAGCCCCAGGTATTACACCATCTACTGCCTCCACCCAGTTGAACAATAGATACAAATTATGTATAGCCCTTAGTCCTACCCCTAAACCTTAAAGCATACCATGATTATAGACTCTTAGTGGGTGGGGGCCGTCCCAAGGTATGATGCCATGTGCCGGGGCCTGACAGAAGCAGTGCGAGATGCGGAAGATGAGAAGATCCGACTGCACCTTACAGGCACCCGCCAGGCACACGCTGGCGGGGTTTGGGGTTTAGGAATTTAGGATTCAAGGCTTATAGGATTTAGGATTCAGTGCTAGGGTTCAGGGTGTAGGGTTAAGGGTTGGGGGTGAATTGAGGGCTGATTCAAGGTGTAGGGTAAGGCTTTTCGGCTTCAGGAACAGGTCTCACCCGACTGAATAGTCCCGCAGCTGAGTCTTCTGCGAGTTCTTGCTTGCGGTATGCGTACATCTTGAGAATTCATTTTGGGAGCACAGACGATGTTGAGGATTTCCGGTTTAGCTTGAAAGCCCAAACCCAAAAACCCTAAACTTCCGACAAGCACTCAACCCCAAAGATCTCGCGGGCCCAGACCTAGACAATCACGCCGTTTACGATTTTGAGCTAGTCATAATCCGCTATTTGCACTGTCCTCATTAAAAGATGGATCTCAGTGCCCCCAGCATACAATGGTCCTATATGGGGAATATTCGTTACTAGGGGCGGGGTACTAAAGGGGGAGGGGAGTCCTTCCGTGCCTTGTCCTCAACTATCAAGGGCTTCAGGCTCGTACCCCTAAGGTTGTACCCCTGGGTTTTGGGATCCTTTTAGAAGACATATAAGGGCTATATTAAGGCCATATGGGGGAAACCTTTTAGGGGTACGACCTTAGGGCTACAACCCTGGAATTCTTGAAACTAGCTAAACCCTAAACCCTAAACCCGAAACCGAACTCTGGCAGAGGCTCCCTGGCTCAACTGCAATGCGGACTATGTGGATGGCACTCACCCAACCATTGCTGGAGGGAAGAAGTTCGCTGACAGGCTCCTTCCAGGCGGGGATAGGTATAGTCCCCCTTAATTGGATAGAAATATGTCTTTGGGTAAATTATAATAAGATCCACATATACCTCATATTCTATCTGCTTAAGGGCTACTATAGAGTTTTGTGTTTAGGCTTTGGAGTTTAGGGTTTGGGCTTGGGGGTTTTAGGGCTTGGGGTTTAGGGTTTAGGGTGTATTTATCGAGGGGGCACTTGGGGATAAATGTAGTTTTCGCTTATTGTTGGTAAGTTCCCTACGCAGTTTTGCCTTAAACCCGAAACCCTAGGCAGTCTTTCAACACCCTTGGTAGTGGCGCAAGATTTTCCTCCACGGTGGGAATTTTCCGAAATGTGGGGGTTTCTGAAAAATGAGGTGTCCCTTTTAAAGTGGTTAAAGGGGCTATACAGCGGCATACCAGGGTTTATAGGGTTTAGGGTTTCCCTAAATTAGGCTAGTTTTTGGGGCTTGCCCGCAGGCTACACAGGGGCCCTCTTTTTTGGGGAAGCTACCCTATGAATCTACTGGGCATGCTGTGCAGGATCTTGCCATGGAAAAATACAGCGCCGTGGACCCGAGCAACCTACGACCCAAACCCAAAGCCTAAACCCTAGACCCTAAATCCCTAAGCCCTAAGCCCTATAGCCCTAAACCCTAGGTCTTACGCCGCAGATTCGTCAGTTCTTCCCGGAGAAGTGCCGAGGAATTGGCTCCTGATCTGGGTTTGCAGGTGGATCCCAGGGCCCGCAACCGTAATCCCTAAACCCTACGTGCTAAGTCCCAAAAGTGTTGGCCTATAGGGGTACAAAGTGTAAAAGTTTGGAGCTTGAGGTTTAGGATTTTTGGCTGATTCAGGTAGATTTCCCGGGGCCTCCAAACAGCACGGACCTTCTAAGAACCCCTTGAGATCCCCAACCCTAAGCCCTAGACCCAAAGCCCTAGACCCTGGCCCTAAACCACGCCCCCGGAAGGCTCTCAGGAGTAGTCTGTCCTTTCCAGGGGCTCAGTCTAAACTACTTAAAGGGGGGTTTATAAGGGAGCACCGTGAGGAATGTAACACCATGATTTCAATTGCCCTTGCAACAAGAAAGATCCAGTCAACAAGGTTTTAGGGTTTCGGATTTTAGTGCGATTGTTTGTGCTTGGAGATTCATGGATCCATGGGTAGTCAAGAATACTAAGGTTTGTGTACACCTGACGCCCAAAAAATAGGACACCATTCTAGTCTCATGATAGATGTTATAGCCAGACTCTTTTTAGGAAATCTTGCACCACCTAGATAGCCTAAGTCTGTGAAGGGTGCCAAACTTCCTTGATACAGCATAAGTCTCATCATTAGTATCTACCCTGACCCTATAAGGCCTTGGGTCAAAAGTTATCACATCCTTTTTCGGAATTGCCATTGTCCTTCTCAGTCTTCTGCTTCTTCTTCCCATGCTGCTGCTCCCTATTCTTGCTATTGGAGGGTATTGCTTGATAGTGAAGTTTTTGTAAGATCCTATGGGCTCATGTAACACATCAACAGGGACTGCCCTAAACACTCATTATTTTATACCCTAAACCCTAAACCCTAGACCCTAAACCCTAAGCCCCTAAACCCCTGAACCCCTGAACCCTAGACCCTAAACCCTAAGCCCCTAAGCCCCTAAACCCCTGAACCCTAGACCCTAAACCCTAAACCCTAAATATTTTATCATGTGTGTCATGGCATGGATCTCCTGTGGTTTACGCAGTGTTCCAGCGCAGGCTCATCTGGAGTTGGGTTGAGGGTTATGAGGGAGCCCTGCACCGTAGATTACAAACCGCATGCCACAACAGCGTACCTGAAATCCGAATTGCTAAGATCTAAACCCGAAGCCACATCCCCTACACCTTCCATGTTTGTTGGGGAGAGTATGCCATCCCTGTATAATATATTCCCTTCCTACCAACCACCACTTTGTAAACCTTATTCACTGAATCCGGTACCTCATCAGAAGTCGAAGCACAAGGCCATACTCCCAAGCCCTCCCCAAACCCTTAAACCCTAAACCCTAACCCCTAACCCCTAAACCCTGACCTTAAACCCTACACCCTAAGCCCTAAGCCCTACGTACCCAGGAGCCCAAGACCCCTTTGTCAAGGAGTTTAGCTTAGGGCTTAGGGTGTAGGGCCCAGGACTCAGGGCTCGACTCACTTGGAGGGTCAGGGGACTTAGTAAGTAGGTTAATAATGGGGATAAGTATGGTTACTATATGGACTATAGGGATTATTAGCCTACTTATTAAGTCCCTCTGACCCTCCAAGCACTAGTCTTTCACAAAACCTTAAGCCCTAAGCCTTGAACCCTGGAGTCGAGGCCCTTCCCCTCGGCCCAATGCAACCTTAACTGCGAATGAAGCCTACCCTAAACCCTAAACCCTAAACCCTAAACCCTAAATCCTAAACTTAAGAGCCTCCGGCTCAGTCCGCCGACCCAGTGGCGGAGAAAGCACGAAAGCCTAAACGCGAAACCTTGAGGGTTTTCAGCGGCTGGCACGAGACCAATAGATAGGCGCAACAAGACTAGTCCAA